GCCTCGGCCCCTGGGCTGAGCACGAGGTGTGGTGGGAGGACCACAGGTTGTGTTTGTGATCGCAGGTTAACGAGTGCGAGCCAAGGGTGATGTGGCTCTCTGGCCTGCACATTCCCGAATCCTACCTGACAGCTCTTGTTCAAGCCACCTGCAGGAAAAACAAGTGGCCCTTGGATCACTCCACCCTCTACACCGAGGTAACCAAGTACAAGAGTGCGCAGGACATCACTGAATGGCCTACTCAAGGTTGGTGGTGTTATGATTATTTGGCAAACATAATAAAGTAGTTGATAGGTGAGAGAGAACTCGCTTGGCCTAGAGAGTTACTCAGCTCACACCTCCACAGACAAGTCTCTTGGGTTTACATCTCTCAAGCTGGGCTCTGGTTTGCACTTTCCTGCAGAGCCCATGTGCACTTCCATTTCCCTTCCCCGCTCTTTCCACCCATGTGCAGGTATCTGAACCTGAAACCTCTCCCTTCCTTGCTCTCTGTATCTACTTCTTTCTAAGGGCTAGGACATTACCAGCCATAGCAGGCTTATAAAGCTCTAGTTACACCGCAAATAATATATCAAAATGTATTTAAACAGAAAGTAAATACAGTTCTGTATAACATGTATAAATGTATCTTTACGAAACTTGTGTGACTAGCAATGCTCTAATTACTAACTGTAACAAACTCTGAGTAAAGAGGCCAGCTAGGCACTGCTGCTGGGTACTAGACCTGATTGGCAACAGAGGAGGTAAAAACCCCCAACCTGATAGATTGAGCAAAACCAAACTGTCAGTTAAGAATCAAAGTCACCTCGTTCCATTTACACAAGGTGTTGCATTTCTGCCCCCGCAGGCTGCTTTGTTTCTGGGCTGTTCCTGGAGGGAGCGGACTGGGACACGGAGCACGGCTGCCTCACCAAAAGCAAGCCCCGAGTCCTGGTGGTGGAGCTGCCCATTCTGAAGATCATCCCCACGGAATCGCACAGGCTCCGGCTCCAGGTACGTTCCTGCAAGGGCACAATGGCTCATGGGCTGCTTATCTGCCTCTGGATTCACACCCCACCTGCTGGCAGCGCCCTCCCTCCCCTCCCCATTAGCGCTGCAGTACCCAGCTGAACACATCTCCCTGCCTTAGCTGTCATTGGTTTTATTTTCATAGTCACACTCAAGGGGGGGGTCCTACATTTGCTGCCTTTTTTTCCACTCAGGCACTAGGGGATTGGGACACTTTTACACCCCCAGTGTGCTCTTAATTTCCTCCATCGCTGTCAGTGACATGAAGGATGGGCACAGTAGCTGGGTGTCAGCTGTTTAAGGCTTAAACCAAAAAGAATGGATTCCTGAAGACAGTTGCCTCCCCCCGAGGCCCTTCTTGTTCCCAGTTCCATGCTGGACTTCATGCATTGCTCAGTGTCCTCCTTCCTCCACGCTGTTTCAGAACACGCTCCGGACCCCCGTGTACACAACCTCCCTGAGACGGAACGCGATGGGCTTCGGCCTGGTTTTTGAAGCCGACCTTTACACCACAAGGCACATTTCCCACTGGGTGCTGCAAGGCGTCTGCCTCACCCTGAACACAGACTGACAGCACGGAGGGGCACGAGGTTGTCCCCACAGAATCCAACCCTTTATGGGGGCAGAAAAAATAGTTACGAAACTAGGCAGAGGCCCCTCACTACAAGGGGGGTGTGTGTGTGTTTAGTTAAGCCCATATGACTTTAAATAGTACAACAGAGAAAAGCTCTTATTACCAATAAATGCATTTGAAGGAAGTGGTTTTTCATCATGTGCACTTTTCAGAAAGGCTCCAAGCTGGGCTGTGGCCAGAAGAGGTACTGAGTTAAGTCTCGCACACACAAAGGCCTGTAGGGTTGTAAGAAATGTTTTTAATTGCCCAAAGCATCACTTCTGCTGTGCTTAGAAGCGGTGCCGTCCATCATCCTTGAACAAGCAGCAGGGTAGATCAGTCGTACAAGACACGGCCATAAAAATACGGCAACAACAGCCAGAACCCCCAAACCCGCTGCTGGTCAACGCAGTACACGTACAGCAGTAACGCACAGAGTGACGCTCTTTAACCAAGCCTTTTCCAGTAACACTGTTTTTCCCTATCCCTCCCCACCATTCCCAGAACAACTCCCGTCACACAACCAACCAGGCACAACACTGAGGAGTCTCTTGGGCTTCAGAACAGCAAGAGCCCGAGTCACGAGGGAGCGCGGGGGGGGCCCCGGAGGCCTGAGGGCTCCATCTCTGCCTGTGCGGGCTCATGGGCAGTGCCACAGCTGCGGCTTTGGTCATCCTGCCCGTGCCTTTGGGGGAGCCGACAGGCAGCGACCCACAGCTCCAGAGGGACACACACCAACACACAGCTGCAGGAAAGCTTACAGGGGCAGACTAGAGCTGGGAAGGGGAAGGACAGAGGGCAGGCAGGGATCCTTCATCAGCTTTCACTGGGATTATGCGTTCCAAATATTAAAGGCACATCATAAGCTTAGCAGCATTTGGGAGCCATCGTTTCCTGCTGCTCCTGCTCAGAGGCTGCAGACGAGAGTGAAGCAGAGGCGAGCTGGAGGTGCTGATCACAATTTAAGAAAAATGGTCAATTTGTGCTCCTTTCCCCAAACCACAGCTCCCGCAGCTCCCACTATGCCTTTCTTTCCTAGGAAATAAATGATAAAAAAGAATCAAGTAATCTAACAGCCACTGGGTCTACCTGTTGCTCACTAGAAAGGAGTAGGGGAACGGGGGCAAGTGCAAGGCAAGTCCATCCCAATCCACAAGGACAGAACTCCAGGATGGCAGGTTCTCTTCCTGTAGGAATTGGATACATCACTTAACTGTTAAAATTAAGACACACATTCGAGAGGGACAGCTCAGTTTCCAGGCTGGCAGAAGCCAGCACTGGCTGACAGTGCCCACAACAGGACTCAGGTTTTCGGGAAACAAAAATAATCCCTTTAGAAAAAAAGTGCAGGTTAGAGCATAAAGACCCATTTCCATATTGGACAGCCAGGTACGTTCTCTCCCTGGAAAAGGAGCTCCGAGCCAGTATGGAAGGTGCTACAAGTGCAGTGTGCTGACAGTGTGAAATGTGTAATGGAGCCACTCAGTTAAAAACTGAAACAAACCAAAAACACTCCCCAGACAACCCGTGTTCATACTCTGAGATCATTAACCCTTTAAAAGAGTGCTTTACCCTCACCCCCCTATTGTTAAACAAAGCCACAAACCAAAGAATTTGGGATTAATCAAGTAATGCTCACTGGGACTCTCAGGATTTTGAGACACAGAAACTAAGAACACAGTTTGCAGCCAGGTGCACGTGAAGAAGACGATGTCCTTCGCTCACTTTAACGTGTACGTGCTTCTGCACTATCTTCAACACTAGCGTGAGAAAGGCTTTGTCATGGAGGTCGGTGTGAAGTGCTCACGTGAAGCCAGAGGAGCCCCCGGCAGCTGGAACGCTGGCAGCCGTTCTGGTTAGGTTGGTTTGCACTAACAGTGGTTCAGAGCGCGGCCCGCGCCTTCCTCCACACGAGTGGTTACAACAGATGGAGCAGTGCGCAGAAGCAAGCGGTCAGGTACCCCTGATTTGGCCACAGCATGTAGTAGTTATACACCTTGCCATATGAACACAGTCCTATTAGGTTTCGTTAGAGGAGAGTAATCTATTAATGATGGATCTGGAAGAAGTTTGGCATGCATGGGGCATCAAAAGAAACTTTACTGCAGGTGCTAATTATCCTACAGGATCACAGTGCATAAACAGCAACAGAACAGAGCATTGCAGTGGTTTTACTCAAACAGTTCTGTCTGTCCCTGAGTGCTTCCTGACCACTTTGCTTCCATGGACCTGATCCACCGCCAGTGTTTCCACCTCCGGCTGGGGCTGGGCTGGCGCGGCGTGGTGGATGCGATGCGCCACCCCGATGTGGGCCTTGTGCGGCTTCTCTCGGGCTGGGCTGTGAGACTCACCCGAGGCACGGTCTGAAGCAATGGGTGGAATCACCAACGGCCTCTCCTTAATGAGATGCACCTCTGCCGTTTCCCTGGCCAACAGGAACGGGGTGGGATCCGGCATGGCATCCACAGGCTCTCTCAACAGCAGCTTCCGGCTATCCGACCCTATTCGGTAGGCCTCTTCGAACTCAGGGTTCAGTGGTGTCGACAGACTCTTCTTCATTCTGCGCCGGGGGGTCTCCGGCAGTTTGTCTTTGGGAGGGGACGGCTTATAGCTGGACAGCACGGGACTGCCAGAAGGGGTCCCCTCCGAAGTCCCACTTGAGCTCATCAGCTTCTTCTTAGTCGCATGCAGCTGGGAGGTCAAGTAAGCAATAGTGCTGGCTCTCTGCTCTAGTTCACTCGACAACATATTGAGCTTATGGCTTTTCATTTTCAACTCTTCCAAATACTTCTTTTCTCTCTCTTTAATGGTGTTTTCCAGCACCATTATCATCGCGTTCTTTTGTTCGAGTTCTTTCAATAATTCATTGTTTTCAGCCTCTTTGGCTTTCAGCTGAGCTTCCAAATCTTTGCACTTACTTTTGAGTTCATCGCTTCTTGAACTGCCATTTTCTAGAAGAACAGGAAAAGCAGAAGTGTTTCAAGTTAACAATAGCCACTAAGAAAAATAGTGCAGTAGGGTTCCTTTTGCCATCCCAAAGACTAACTTCAGCTAATGCTCTTAAAATTACCTCCTCTTCAGAAGAAACAGGGCAGCTTTTACAGAAATGGTGACGAGCCAGTGCTACTCACCATGGTTTAATGGTGTTGATGCTAAGTGGAGACACTTCACGTGTTTTGGGGAACAGGGATTACAGAAACCATGCCTGAACTTGATAGAAATTTGAGCTATTTTGCCAATCCTCTGCTTGTTAAAGAGGAATTTCTCCCTCTGCAAATGTCTGAAAGAGTGGTGGAGCTGCTGTCATAGCTCACCAGGAAGATGTGCTCTGGCTTTAGCTTCACCCCTCCACGGGCAGCTGCAGCCTGTGACTCAGGCTAAGACTCCTCACCGAGGCTGACAGCCTGCGTTTCTCCAGCAGCAAGCAGCCTGTGCCATGGGGCTGTTGGCTGCGAAGTGTTAGTCAGGTGTTGTCCCCTCCCCAGCGGGCAGTGTCTGAGTCTGGCACAGCAGCATCACTGATCCATCACCTACTCTGAAAACCCTGCCATGAGAAGCATCTGAGCAACACTGCAACATCAAACAACAGGCAAAGCCCATGTTCTCTCATCTGCTACATGTCCTGTCCCATGCAGTCCCTCTCAGAGTATTTTATTCCTATGCTTCACCTGTTAACTACAGTCTAGTGTGTATATGTATAAATAAGAGCTTTGTGGTGTAATTACAGTACCAGCTAATAACAGTCTCACTCTTCTGCTCCTAAAACGAACATTCTGTGTTCCCATACAGCATGCAAGGAACAACTAGTTTAGTAAAAGAGAGGAGTCAGCAGTTCCACACTATTCCTGGCTCTCTCAAATATTTCCTGTGTGACCTTGGTGAAGAACTTGTGACATTTACTTCATACATAACAGTAAGTCTGGAAAGTAGAAAACTACTGTTATACCTTTAGAATTTATAAAGTCAACATCCCAAGCGCAAAGTATTCTCACCTACTTGTAATGGAGAAAATACAGACACTGAAGAAAATGAGGAAGTTTAACATGAACATTAAAAGAAAAATGCTGTGTGTTCCTTACCTGACAAGTCTGCACTCTTTACAGTCAGCTCATAGGTTAAATCTGAGGAGAAAAGTTGGGGTTTTTTGTTAGAACATCATCATTACTCCATGCACCACCAGGAGAGCACATGTACAATGGCATACTTCAATGAAAACACAGGTAGCTCTCCCCCCACTTGAAGCAATAGCAGGAGATCCACTGCACATAATCAAATCTGTAAAGCAAGTGGAACTATCAGCTTTAAAAATAAATACATAGATCTTTGCTTCATGATCATGAGCATTCATGAGATACAGAGAGATCACATTAAATGTATGCTGCTGGTGGGTGCTGTTGCTGAGGTTTCACAGCCGGAGCAAGGAGCAGTCACCCCATTCCTGTGAAGAGAATTAAGCACCGAATGGGCTCAGAGCCCTCTCCCAGGTACCTGTGCAGTGCTGCTGCAGGCGTCGGATCTCGGCGTGGAGGCCCTTCAGGGTGTTGGCATGTTCCCGCTGGAGAAACAGCAGGTTCTTCTGGGCACTCTGCAGCTGGTTCTCCAGGTTGGAAGTCGCCATCCTGACATGCAGCCGCCCTGTCAGTGAACAGATGCAGAACTGCATCAGTGGGTTATCTTGCACATACAGAGATCCTCGCTGTACCGCCAGGCTCAGCAGCAATAGCTGAATTCTGCTGTTAATGAACTGGGAGGCAATCAAGCGAATACCACAAAAGGTTTTTCTCTTTCCTAACTATTTCAATTAGAAGTGCTCTAATTCTAAGTTCATAGAAAGCCTAATTTATACTCCAGGCCAGAGCAGTTTCCTTTCAGAACAGCTTTATAAAACTGGGCCTTGACTTACGGCAGTGCTCACACTCAAAGATAGGAAGGGTGAAGTGCAGGATGCTGAGGGGCCCCTGTGCTGCAAGTGCCTCTGCTGCTCCTGGTAAGGCACCAATGGCTACAGTGGAAAGGCCAAATTCAGTTATCACTGTAGTTTTATAAAACCAATCACAGTATTTAGGTTACAGAGATAAGAATTGGGACTCCTGTTGCCTGGGCAACCGTCTGTGATGGCATTACAGCCACGGTCTGTAACCATGGGACCACACGTCGTGCATGAGACAGAGCTTAATTCTGTCCCATGGCTGCTCTTAACAGGCTCGTCTCACCATGTCAGGTGTTACCCTTTGGACTCCTTCTGGTATGTAGTTTTATGACAAAAATTGGATTCTACAAGTTTGAAAGGAACACACTTCGGTCATTCCTGCACAGAACCCAGCCCTGCCTTCGATTTTATACTTCCTACTCCCCAAAAGAACACCAGCCTTATCCCTACGTGTATTTAATGGTAAAAAAAATCAAGTAAAGCTGTAAGAGACTTTCAAGGAATCCACTTGTGTGCAAGGGGCAAACCAGAGCGCTTGGTTACTTTATAACACAGATCAAAGATTAAAGAAGAATGGGGGCACCGGTGCCAACTTGTGCTTGGCTGAGTGAACAGGTCATTCTGCAGTCACCATCGTTAGCAAACAAGCAAAAGTCAGGGACCAAAAATATTCTCAAAGGAGGTTTCTGGGCTGGCTATATCAGAAATAAACGAGTTGTGCCACAGGCTCTTGCTCTGACTTGTGGAGAGCGGCTCCATTACTGCCACCAGGGTACTCCCCACAGCCCATGCATCAAGGGCTGTCTGAAGATGGACCTCACAGTCCATAGCAATTACTGTGGGACACCATTAATTGTAAGTACTGATGACATTTTAACTGTGTTACATTATCAAAGTGACATCGCCTTGTTCCCAAAGCTGATTTCAGACAGAAGCTTCACTGATTCATCCAGTTTCTTACGTGATTATTCTACTCCTACCCACCGAGTAGGACAGCAGAATAAACCCTGCAGCAGGAGGCCATGCCCCCACCATCGCTGAGCTCAGTCTGGTACAATGAGGCTCAGAGGGGAGGTTTCATCAAGAAATGTATTTTCCACATGAAACTGAGCACTGGCAGTGCCAGGTGAAAGCAGCCTACGTGTGGTGCCAAAGCCTTTGCTCTCACAATGGTTACTAACGGTGCCTTTATGGCTGTAACTATCATCTGAGCTCATAAAGGCTTCACCACCAGCAATAAACAGTGTTTGTAACTCAGTCCTTGCAAGTAAATGTGGTTTTTAACTAGTTTCTAAATGTTAGAAAAGGCACAACAAGGCTGTGACTATTGATCTCCTCTGCTGGTTTTTCACTGTGATCTCTTGCATCTTAAAGATCACACTGTGATTGCCTGCTCTGAAGGAAAAAACAAAGGAAATACTCAGGGGCAGGCTGGTTTTCCAGGCTTAGGAAGAAAACAAGAATTACCAGCACCAGAGCATCCGGTGGGTTAATGAGTGAGAGCAATTAAATCAACTCACTACAAATTGTACCTGCACCCCCTGCACCAAGCAGCTTCTCTCCCCTGAGAATGCAGGATCAGGAGCTGACTTTCCCACAAGCCTCCCGCAGCTCCCTGTGCTGGTGCAGCCTCGTTGTCTGCCCATCTCCTGCCTTTCCTTCAATGGAAAGGGAAGGCCACAGCTTCCACAGAGTTTATGGGCAGCAGCTTCAGTTCATGCTGACTCTACCCTGCCCAGTCATGGCTTTTTATATACTTTTATACTTTATGTCCTTTTTCTAAGGGCGTATGAACACTGTGCAATCCCTGCATGTGTGCTCTGGGGAAGAGCCAAAACCGTCTGCCATAAACACAGGGAAAGGGGAAAGGCGAAAGTGTTTTACACGGATAAATGCTTTTGCTACAAAATCTGCTTAGAATTGCACAAATGAGCATTAACAATAACATATTCCCAGCCACAAGTCAATTTATACCTATTTTACAGCAAATCTTAAACCACTAAATTAGACCTAGCATTTTACAACGAATCAACTCCCTTGTTTATTTGGGCCGTGTAATGATCAAAAGACACCATGGAAAACAATATAAACTGTTTTTTAAAGCCAAAACATTCACAATTGCCACAAAGTAAAACAATACACTGGAACTTGAAAAAGCCATTCTAGATTAACAGCCACCCTTTAATTCTGCATTCTCGAGTACACCATTAGTGAAAGCTATGAATTGCATAGAACATCTTAATGGCGTTCTCAAATCTGTCAGCAGCTCACAGGATACAACGAGACCTATTGACCCACAGTCTCATAAAGTTTTAAAATGGGAAGAGACTCAGCAGTAAATCAAATCAAATACAATTAAAAAGAAATAATAGTTTCTTTTAATACAAGTCAGTGAACATTTCCCCCCACTTCCCTATGCAGATGCTTTGACTTGGTTCCAGGGAGATTGCTTAGTGGGATTTACTCCACTAAGCTACTCCAAGTTCCTTAACAATTCTTAACCTGCTGTTTCTTGGTGTGCAGCACGCACAGCCACAAATTACATCCAAAACCTCTCTATAAAACAGTTCTGGCAATGCACTAAACTGATTTCACCTCCTGCTCTCTGAAACAAGACAGAACGTGCAGCCAAAAGTAAGGCTACGCTCAGAAAGTGCAAGAGAAAGCAAAATGCAGAAGTCAATTAGCCCTTAACAGCCCAGATGAGCAATCTTTGCTCCCTCACCATGGAAATCCATGGGACAGCTCTCCAAGCAACCAGTCTCTGGCTGGATTCCTACAGATAAATTAAGCCAGTGCTGGGAAGCGAGCTGTAACTACAGAGACCACAGAGCAGTTGTATCACTGTGGCTCTCCCCTCCCCTTGTCTCCAAAGCAACTTTAAAAATTGAAATCAGAAGTTTGCTGTGTTCCCACACAAAAGGAACTGTGCAATGGCAAGTTGGCAAACTCCCACCAGGAAAGCAGATGGCATTTGATAAGGATGATAAAACACTGAAATGGACTTGCAGTGTTTGGTGCCACAACGGTAACACACCTACTCTTCTGCAGGAAGACTTGTGCTGAACAGCAGCAGTGTCCAAGGAGTTAGACATGTTATCCGGATGGGATGCTGCATTCGACCCCTACAACATGCAAACCTTCTCATTTCACCACCACCAAATGTTTCTAGATATACCTCAAAGACCAAGCCTCAAGTCCTCCAAACAATGGATTCACAATTTCTCTCGAATACAGTCTAGGAGGAACAAATGGAATGAGTTAAACAGCATTCCCCTGGGAATGTTGAGTGCAACACTTTAATCCTTGCTGCACCTACCTAAGCCCTCATCTTCCAGTGAAGTGGAGAAGGTAACAGAACATTCTTGTAAGCTCACTTTCAAAAGGAACTGTTCAGACTCTTCTAAAAGTGCACGTTCCCTTAAAAAGGGAGCAAAAATAAATCAATCTTAAATTGAAAATGAAAAATATTAAACGAGCTTCCAAAATGCAACTTCATCTCATGCTCACCATAAAAAATTGCCACCATTTTATCACCAAATCTTGCCTTGCAGAGGATGTGCAGGCTCCAGGCCTGTTCTGATCTTAAGTATTTGGATAGAGTTCAAAATATGTCAAGGCAGTGAGCATCTGGCTGTGTGTTAGGTGCCTTTGCACAAAATCAGAGCTTCTCTATAACCCACTGCAAGAGAAGAGGAGGGAGATGCTAATCTGTGACTTTAGAGACAGTCCAAAGGAAGCTCCTGGAACAAAGCCTGAACAACCATAGTTATTTAACATTTTCATTCCTGTTTGGTATGCTCCCAGAAAACCAGAATAACCTCCTTTTACATGGATGGGGTGACTATCACCTGAGAAGCTGCTTTAGCTCCCTGCCAACACATACCCAAATCTTCCTGAAACAGGAAGGCTTTATCCTCTCGACTGGTATCTAGCCAGCGTCCCCTCAAAATGAGACAAAAGCTGCCCAAATGATTTCTGCATGCTACACAACATACAGCTTCACCGTCTTCCAGTAAGAACCTTCAAAGTTTCAGCCAGTCCCTGTTTTAGTGGCTGTCACTGACCTGACCAAACATTGCCAAATAATGTAGCTCTGCTGATAAAATGCCCAGTTGACAGACACTTGGCGTAGACCAGCTCTCCATCTCCAGAGACACGCCATCCCCAAAGCGTGGGTTCAGCTTATTTCAAAGGACACAGCAGAGGAAACCCTGCAGCCCCCACAGCCAGCTTGAGGGCTTTGCTATCCTGCTGCTCAGACATTTGCTCTCAGACCCTGCAGACCCAACCTCACACCATTACACTTCTACTACTGTCGATCCTGCAACAACACAGTTTAATCACAGCCTGTTACACAGCTTCAGATTTACGTTCTCCCCTCCTTCATCTGAGCATTAGACTAAACCACTTAAACTAGTTCAATATTTCTTGAAGTCATGCTTTTCTGTGTGCTAGGCCTACACAACCACCTTCACAAGGTCCTTCCCCTCCTCCAGTGCTCCCTTACCATAAATGAGTATGTCTTCCAGCAACAGCACTGCCCCCCTTTTTCCCCCGCCTTCTGTCTTCAAGTATAACAATGCTGACGTGTAATTACTGTGTAATTATTGTTTTCATATTCTTTTAGTTTGTGTGTTTTAAGCCAAGCAAAATTAGCAGTTCTTTCCTGGAGACAACTGAAGGGA